GGAAATGGAAATGATGTCAGAAATTACATAAGAACACTACAAATGTAAAAGAACTATATGTACAGCCCCAAACAATAATCAAATAACTGCTTGCATCAACACAGCCAAATAATAACTTTTGTTTCGATGGCTTTTTTTGCCTTCACTAGTGATTGCTTCACCATCATTATGTTATTTGATTGCTTTTGAGCAGTCTTCGCCAGTACCTCTTCTTTAGGCACATCAGTGTCCTCTATTTTGGGTTTGTCTTCAAATTTCGCTGCCTTATTTAGTTTCTTCTTCAATGACCTTTTTTCGAGTAAAGAATATTTAGAGGTTTCAGTGGAAGCAATAGTCTTGTCTTCCTGTGAAATTAATAAATGAGAAGTCATATTTTTGTTGATCCCAAAGGCGATGCAAGGATTGAGATTAATGACATTGTATGAAATATATAATAAGATCACAAAGATGAAACGAGATTTAAAATAAAGAGATCAAAGAAAGTTAAGTAAAGGAAACGATAATTTACTATAACAATATGGAGAGAAAATTATTAACACGATAATTTTTGCTTGAACTAAATTGAAAAAAGACACTACTATTTATAGGTACATACCATACCATAAAGATAGAAATAATGTACAGTAAGGAAATAATATATTTTCAGTAAAATGACATGAAAATAAGGAAACAATATTTTTCGTGTAAAAAAATGAAACAATTTTTTTCCTAATTTGGGTCATGAACTGAACAATCTCCGCCTTGACCCAAATTTCGGTGCAACGAATGAAACTCCAAAATTTCTCCACTTGGAAAAATATGCCCAACTGCATCGAAATAACCAAACTCTTCAAAACAGTAACCAAAACTCTCCATCACAACACATCTTCCTCTGCCTGACATCTACAAACAATACTCGAACCCTATTCTAGAGTTACCAAAATTTCACCAAGGAATTACTGTTGACCAAACAGGGTCGAAGTATACCATGTAGCGGAAACCATACAAAATGCATGATCAGAAGGCCCCTTACTAGAATTGTCACCTCCAACGATCCCGAAAGTATTGCAGACATCACTGACAACACTGTACTTACTCTCCATGAGTCCAACCATAGCAACTGAATATAGTGTATCGACTGAAATTGATGGCATAGTGGAATCAATAATGCTCCACTGAGCAATGTTCTGAACCGACCCAAAGCCGTCACAAGAGGTACTGTACCAAACTGAATATCCACCACAGTACTGAACTTGTACGGATGTCTCTTAACTGGTCCCTGGAAGATGTACAACTAAGACCTTCTCCGTCCCTCTAGTATAACTCGGACATCCTTTCGAACCTTCAACACTCTACCTTCACCAGAGAATTTATACCCTTTTGCATTTAGAGTACTGAGCGAGATGAGATTCTTTTTCAGATCTGGACATTTCAAACCTGATCAATTGTTCTAATTGTCCCATCCGTAGCCTAAATCTGACTCGACATATCCCAGCAATACTGCAAGACTAGTTGTTTCCCATTACAACTCCACTTTGCTGAACGGCCTCATATGTCTTAAAAAAATTCAATTGGAACACGTATGATGCGTACATGCCGAATTGAGAATCCACTTCTCGTCAGGCCTAGATTCCATGCCAGATACCATGGTCAATATCACATCTCCGCCGTTTGAAAAATCCTCAACTACATTTGTTTCGTCTGAAGTCAAAGGTTGTGCTCCACGATTTGTAACTGAATCACCTTTAGCCTGCAACTTATCACAATCCTTCCAAATATGTCCCCTAAGTCTGCAGTTGAAGCAAAACAGATTTATGTCATTCTCCGATCTGCCCCTCCGTCAACCACCATGTCATACAAAAACTTCCTCATTCCTTGATATAGCTCCAACCAACTGCTTCAACTTATCATTTGAGTACAAAGTATTATAGACGTCATCTATAGTCAAAGTATCCCGACTATACAAAATGGTATCCCGAAACAACGCATAAGAGCCAGGCAACGAACACTACAAGATCAAGGCCAAATCCTCTTCATCGCACTTAACCTCTTATGTCTCCAAATCTGCAACTATTTCCTTAAACACAACATTATGGCCTCCGAGTGACATTCCTTCCGCCATGCAATGGGAATATAGCTTATGCTTTAGAGCAAGTTTGCTCTTAAGACTTTTAATCATACATAATTGCTCCAGTTTCAATCATAAAAGCAATCGTTGTTTTTTCATTCAAGATATCCTGCAAAATATTGTTGGATAAATGAAGATGGATCTACGATAAAGCCTTCCGATCTCTCCGTTGTCCAAGCAACTGGCATCTTCTCAAAACCCAGCCGTGCATCATCCAAATCCAAATGCGTCAAAATAGCCCTCATCTTTTCGTGTCACAAAGAAAATCTTATATTGTGATCCAACGCCAGAGTATCATATTTATGTTAAAAAAGAAAATTTGAGTCATTAAAATAAAATTTCTTTTAAGGTTGTGTCTTCACGTCTATTACCTACATTTTGAAACATATTTCTTTTCAATTTTTTATTACATTTCTAAATATTTACGAATATATTACTCCATTAAATTTTATTTCCACTATTTATATATTACAATTTGTAATCTATAAACATAACATAAATCAAAGAAAAACAAATCACTATACTTTAAAATATTACTTTTTCGGAGAGGTAATTGTTCGCGAAATTATTTGTTTCGATTCAACATCCACCGCAAGTGTACGGTTCGTTAACAAGTGGTAAAATGGACTATGAGTTTAAGTGTCGATCCCACAAGGATTGAATTAGTTCAAATCAACCTATTATGACCTTAACCGAAATACAAAGGTAAAATTGATGTATTGTGATTTAACTAAGAAGATATAACTATGATGCAATTATGAATGAAAGAAATATATCAAATGCAGATGATTTGGACACAATCTACTAGAATTTTATGGAATTAATGAATATACTAACGCACTAGGATCACGAATCCTCAAGCAATACCCGTTCAATTTTCAATCGTGCAATTTTCACACACAGTTCCACAAAAGATGAATCAATATTCCTATTTTAATTTAGCAATCTCTCTCGAACAATGTCAAACCTATCCCAATATGTGATTCGACTATATCTTTATGACGAATACTAATATATCGAAATGCATTATGAATTCATGAATATCCAATAATTTACACAAGGCATAGAGGTATATTTCTATCCCCTATCGGACCTTATGATGATTTATATTATGTCAAACCTATTTTTCCTCTTTCGAATGCATAAAATAGGTCACCACAATCATATAATTACGTGCACAATAATCATATGGAAATAAAAACGTAATAAATCATTCAATTCCAGAACATGCGTTTTAATATGTCAAAAATCCAAATCAAAAATCAAATGTAGTATTACAAAGTTCATCGATCTCCTAACAATGAAAAATCTAGCCTAACATGCTAAAAAGAAGAAAATATAAAAATAGTTGAAGAAACGTCATCACCCGAATCAATTTTCAATCGAATCTTCACTTGGCGCGATGTTGTCCTCTTGTTCTCTCTTCATTTCTCCTTCAAAATCTCTAAAAAACTTGTAAAAACAGCGTTCCCTTCGTTTTGGTCGAATTTTTATTTATATAGGACCCTAAAAATATTGTTTCCATAAAAGTTTCAACAAAAAAATGAAACTACAATCTTGGCACAGAAATGCTCTATGCGACCGTATAGAACATCTCTATGCGGTCGCATAGAGTAAAGATTTTGTGTCCATTGTATTTCGGTTTGCCTCTATATTTCTGGATATGTTAAAAAAGAAAATTTGAGTCATTAAAATAAAATTTCTTTTAAGGTTGTGTCTTCACGTCTATTACCTACATTTTGAAACATATTTCTTTTCAATTTTTTATTACATTTCTAAATATTTACGAATATAATGCTCCATTATATTTTATTTCCACTATTTATATATTACAATTTGTAATCCATCGAAAACATAACATAAATCAAAGAAAGACAAATCACTATACTTTAAAATATTACTTTTTTCAGAGAGGTAATCAACAGATAGAATCCCTATCATTTTCTTGTTTTCCGAATTTTGACATTTGTACCCTAAGACGAATCAAACCTTGCGCAAAGCACCACTGTTGACAATTTACTCCATTAAAGCCTTACAAAATGGTTAATTTACTTCCTATTAAATTAAACAAATAAGAAAAATAAATAAATAAATTAGAAAAGTATTGCCGACTGCAAACAAGTCCCAGTATAAATAATCTAAAACATTAATTAAAAAAGCACGAACTTATAAAACTCTTAATGATCAATATTTTTCACTATAAGAGTGCATAATTAACTTATCACCGAGTGTATATTAGTAAAAAACGATCCCAGATCATTTTATTTTATCGTTAGAAAGTAAATTTTGTCGAACACGGATCAATTTTATTCTTTATCTTCCTTTGAACTTGTAAAAGGAAATTAGATAGTGGAATATTCTATGCCAATTTATACACGAATGTAATTGATTTTACGCCAAGAAAACGTACATATTTAAGAGAAAACAATTGCGTAAAAAGAAAAGGTTACAGTCCCATTTTCTTATTGGTGGCAATTAAATTAAGAAATATTAAATTAATAGAATATATTTGGGTAGAAACTGGAAACTATTACAGTATCCTTAAATCTTTTTTCTATCTCAAAGATTCAGATATAGATGGATTATTGACCCGACCCAATATGGCAACTATCTGCATGTAAGTTTCACTTTCGAAATTAAAAGGACAGTTCAAACGCCCTTATAATCTGATTTCAAACAGGATTTCATCGAGTCATAACGTTACAATCATTCTCTAATTCGGATTCATAGTTCTATCAAGAATGTAATTGCCATATCCAGTACCCTATAAAGGTGAAAACAAAATTAAGAACCCTACTTTCTCTGACAGTTTTGCTTCGAGTTCGCCATAAACCCTATTTTTTCCTCTAGTTTTGCTTGGAATTCTGCCTTCTTATTTAAGAAAATTTGTACGAAGACATGGATCACCACTGGAGTAAACGCCACATTCTTGGTTCAGGTACGTATGCTACCGTATATTTGGCATCGAAGCTTAATTCCCGTCTTTCCTATTCCGTGGCCGCTGTGAAGTCCGACAATTATTATGGCACTTCCCTGAAGAAGGAGGGAGAAATTCTGTACAAACTTAGAGGTTGCCCCGAGATCATCCAGTGTTTTGGAGAAGATATAAGTATTGAAAAGAATAGACAAGTCTACAATCTTCTCCTTGAATACGCACCCGGCGGATCCCTCGCTGATCTGATCCAAAAAAATGGAGGAAAAATCCCAGAATCTCAGGTTGCATGTTACACTTATATGCTGCTTAAAGGTCTCTCTCGCGTTCATGAGAAAGGGATTGTTCATTGTGATATGAAACCTGATAATATTCTCGTTTTTCCTAGTGTACATGGCAGTACTATACAAAATCTCAAGATAGCAGATTTTGGAATGTCCAAGACAACTGAAGAGGAGGAAGAGTTTATTCCTGGGGAATCGACCTTCAACAGAGGCGCACTGCAATATGCATCCCCAGAATCTATATCTAAAGGGATACACAAACCAGTTACTGATATATGGTCTCTTGGTTGCATTATTGCGGAGATGATAACAGGCGAAACCATTTGGACTTATAAGGATGCGGAAGATTTGATCAATCAAATTAATTCTCGTCATCCACGTATACCGCAAAATATTTCGTATTGTGCAGACGATTTCTTGAAATTGTGCTTGGAAAAGAATGAGTATCAGAGATGGACGGCCAACATGTTATTGGATCATCCATTTATTTTCACGAATTTGTCAGCATTGCCACTAAATTTTAAGAATCCAGTGCTGCCCAATCCCTTTGGATCCGATAAATGGGTTTATACATTCGACCTGTTTTCCCCTAAACGAAAGATTGAACAATCTACTGATCAATCGTTTAATGTTTAGGAATCGATAACATCCATTTATTGTCAAAATTTGGTTTTGAATTTTCTAGATAATTACTAATTAATTTTGGAAATTAGAGAGAGAGTTCTGAATTTTTCTTGGTATGTTTACAAATTGAATTTTTGTTCTTTCTAACCTCTATTCAAAGAATTGCATGTTAGCATAAGAACTACAGTTTCTAACTTTTAATGAAAGACTGGCAATGTTGCAGGATCACTGACGAATTTTAATTACCAGATTCTGGAAACGTGATTGTATAGTAGTGTTGAGGTTATAAACATAATTTGAACTTGAATAAATCCCCGTCCAAGGCAATAGGGGGCGCCATGTGGCGCTCCCGTCTCTGACCCTGTCCCCAAGTCAGGACATGGCGCCCTGTCCGTAACCCAGAAGTGACGTGAATGAATTGAAGATGGAGTCTTCTTCATTTTAACGTCTTAAAAAATTTATGAAAATACAGAAAAAATAAATCATGGCTCAACGAATTTATAATTTCTTCCACATATTTTTTCAGTCACAACCGTTGTTCTACATTTCACAATACGGTACAATCACCATTCTGCTTGTCATAGTAAGGAAGCGGTTGGAATTGATTAAGGTATGTAAAATTGAAACCTCAATATTATGCGACTGTATTGATGTGAAATGCGAAATTATGGTTTAATAACATCTGACGTAAAAATATAATACAACAATTGTGGCCTCTATAATTTACACGTGCCACCTATGTGACATCTCACAATGACTATAGGAAAAGAATATGTATTTCTCTCCTAATAATATTGAAATGGTTTTAGTAGTTTAAGAGGGTGTTTGGTAGGAATTTTTATGTGAAAATGAATTTTTGAATAGTGAATTGATGGGAAATGTGTGGTTGAAAAATAAGAAAAAGTTTTTGATTTACGTGTAATATTATTTTAATAAAGAATGTGTGGTTGAAAAGAAGAGAGAGAAAAATGCATTTTGATAAAAATGGGTGCCAAACAGGGCCTAAATTTCAAAAATTTAAAATCAGATATACATTACCGTACTTAGCGAGATTGAGGACGAAATAAAAATATATACTAAAATTATAGCTAAATTTGTTTATAAAAACAAAAATACCTGATTATGAATTAAAAAAATAATACCTTATTTTTTTAAAATGAAAACTTAATAGCATGATTTTCTCGAGGGGTTGAACTCGAACTAAATCAATATAAAATTTCACTCTCATCACTTGAGTTAGACCTTGAACGCTGATGAGGTTGTAGTACTTACGGGCTGTGAAAGTGGCCCATTAATAAGTCTACTTTCTTTTAAGGTTGGCCCAGTAATACTTCCGTTGGCCGAGCACTATAAAAATAGCTGGGATTCATTTTTATTTTATTTTATTTTTGCTAAAAAGTTCATTTTCAAAGTCAAAAATTACTTTTAATTGCACAGTTTTGTACGATCCACTAGTACTATCCATCTTTTTTCACCATGCATGTTTTAGGAAGAATAATATGGATTATAATATCTTCAAAAAACTTTAAATACAAGATGTTATCTAATGTCGAGCGTCAAGTTTAAAATCAGTCTCCAAAGATTCTCTATAATGAATGTATTGATAAATTATAGATTTCAATACTCTACTCTTTAAATTATTTAATTCATATTTGAATTAATTAATCATTGAAATATAAAAAAATATGATGAATAAAAGATAAGAAAACTCATTTTCTTGAAAAACAAAATGAAGAGTAATATAATGAGCATTGTAGGATTTTACAATAATTTTACTATCTAAATTTAAATATATTTTCTACTACTTATGTCCCATAAGATTAGGTTTCGCTTTCTTTTTTCGTTGGTCCTAATTCTTAGGTCACTTTCCTTATTAAAAGTATAGATATTTTTTAGTATTTTAGTGTGCTCATATTTAATGTAACTTGTTATCAAATATAAAATAATCCTTTATAAACATTATTTAACATAGGGGGTAGATTAGGAAAGATGTAAGAAAAATTTATATTTTAATTATATTTTTTAATCAATGTGAAAATAGAAACAAGACTATTTTTATGGGAAGAATGTAATATTATACATAGGTTGCTCTTTAATAAAAGATGAGAAAAAATTTATTTTCTTCAAAAAAAAAATACAAAAAACAAAAAACAAAAACAAAATGAAGTGTCACATAATGAGCATTGATGGACTGCATAAAAATTTTACTATCTAAATTTAAATATATTTTCTACTACCTCAATCCCAAAAAGATAAACTTTGTTTTCTTTTTCGTTGATCCTAAATTATAGGTCATTTTCCTTATTAAAAGTATATATATTTTTTAATTTTTTTAAAAAAAAAGGTTGAACCCCAACCTTGAAGGCCCCACCGTCCCGCCCCTAAAGCTTTGTGAGGGAAGTAAATCGCGGAATATGCCCCAACAGGTCAGGAAATAAGAGCTGCCTGTACACTGCGCCTACAAAGACAAGGAGTCCAATTCCATGTTTCAAGAATCGAACTCCCACATTGCAGCTGCTAACAAGATGTGAGATAACTTCACTTATGTCCTTTGCACCACTAGCCTCTGCCCCCGGGGGGCGTATTTTTTAATTTTTCATTATGCTCCTGTTTATTGTAACTTGTTATGAATAAATATAAAATAATTCTATTTCAACATTATTCAATAGAGGGGTAAATTAAGAAGTAAGAAAAAATTATATTTTTAATTATAATAATTACATTTTCTTAATGGCTACGAAAAAAGAAATAAAACTATTTTTATGGGACGGATGTAGTATTATACATAAAATGCTCTTATGTGTTAATCAAATCCGACACCCCCCTCTTTTGAATGTACAATATTGCTTTCCATAATTTTTTATTCTCTAAATACAGTTTTTTTTTTTTTTTTATTTCTCCACATACAAACTCATAAACACACACCCAATTAGACAAGCAAAGACTCGTCCGAGCCATTTTGGCTACCAATGTTACAGATTTATCTAGTACAGTAGCAACCCGATTGGGAATCAAAGGATCCATAGTACTTGCAGCCTTTCAAACTTAATATTCATCATTTTTTAAATTGTGGGAAGAAATTTTAAAACGCCTTTTGTTTGCCTTAAAAAGTCAACTTCTGTCGGTCTAGTCATTGTTTTTTATTTTCTCCTTGATTAGGCTTTGTCAAAGCTTTTGCAAGGATCTTTAATTTATGAATAGAAGGGTTATAGCGTCGAGGCGCTAAGCCTGTAGGATCGGATGCAATTTTGAAGATGGTACATGCTACACTAACCCATCTTTCTGATATCCTTCAGTCTATTTTATGAAATTTGACACCAATTATCAACCGCCACTACTCTCCACAACAAATCCATCCCTTTTCTCTATCCCGTACTTCCACTACCATCACCCTCTCACTCACCCTCCCTCTCTCGTCCCTCCTCATACCTAAACCGTCACACAAATATCTAATTTGAGATCACGATTCACCATTGCTCTCCACGTTTATTGCCGTAGTCACCAAGGCTAGAATCAAAACCCTAGCTCCTCCGTCAACATTCATCATGTGTACATCTAGAAACATATATTTTTTCATCATGAATAGATATTTTTTTTTCTTTATTAGTGAACACATATTTGCCATTTTTTTAGATTTTTTTTTCAAAAGTTGAGATATAGTTTTATTTTGTTTTTATCTTGTACATCTTTACTGAAGTTTTTAGGAGGAAGTGGTGATTGGCAACAGAGAGATGAGATTTGGTATGGGTAATGGTGATAGTGTTGGCGGTGGCGGTGGCGGTTGGCGATTACCAAAAACAATATATTACGAAGACGGTAAAAATTAGGGTTGTGAAATGTTTATAACCCAATTTCACAAAACAAAAATTATGGCAAAAATTTGAACTAAAAAGGTATAAAATTAATATTTTGTGAATAAAAAATTTCAAAATAAATATGAAATTAGTCAACTTTTTAAGGATAATTGTGAATTATTCCCTTAGTATATAATTTTGTAAGCATTGATGGGTTCAAAGGGTGCTTTAAGAGTTAAAAGCATCTCCAAAAAACTATTTAAATATGAGATACTTTCTATTTTAAAAGTCAGCCCTTTAAATCATGTTTCAAGAAACTCTTTAAGTTAACATTTTAATTTAGAGAGAGCCAAATCCACTCTGTATAATTAAATGCATTCAAAGTATTTCAATTTTCAATGTAGAAAAATAATAAAATAATTTAGAGAAAAGATAGTTAAAATAAAAGATATGAAAAATAATAAATAATTTTTTAAGATTAGTAAAATTAAGTGTTAAATATAAAGAACTTGTTGGAGTACTTCAAAATTTTAATTCTCTAAATTTATAGATGCTCTCCAAATGATATAATATGCTATTTAAAAATAGAGAACCTTGGAGATACTTTAAGACACCTTAAAAAAGGGTATCTCCACCCCCCACCCCCACCCCCCCCACCCCCAAAAAAATTCACTTT